AGGTTTCAGGTGCCTCTGGTCAGCCAGCCAGCCACCATGGCCTCCTGGCATCCCAGAGGTGACTGGTGGCCTGCACCATTGTGGGGTGCAGCCTCTCTTCGCCTACCCTTCCAGACACGTGCTCCACCAGTGCAAGTGGACTTGGGGACTCCGGAGGGCCCCGGTGTCTCCCTGCCCTTGGCAATGGGAGGCTCTCTGAGAAGTCACTGCCGAGAGACTCAGCGGCCTCTTTTGCCGACTTTGCCTTGCTGGATCTCTGGCCACCCAAGGAGGGAGCCAAGATGGCTGGTGTTTCCTTGAATCGGGCACAGGCTGGGCAGCCGGCCTGGGGAGTAGAATGCAGGCAGGAGAGGTGAGGGCCAGGCCGGGTCATCAGCTGAGATACCTTAGTCTTTACTAGTTCTACTGAGGCCTGAAGCCGTGTGCCCCCCCCCCGCCCCCACCCGACTGCCTTCCTAGTTGGGTCCAGTTGGTGCAGAACCAGCTTTGTGAGGGGAAAGCAGGGAAGGGAAGATGGGGAGTCTACGGGGTCTTCATGAATTGAGCAGACCCCGGGGTGAAACTGATAAGGAAGGAGCTTGTTCTAGAGGCCAGAGGAGACTTACCAGCACTGTCAGCAGGTTCCTTGACTCGCCTGTTCAGAGCCCTGGTTCACCCTTTAACGTGCAAGGGTCGGAGTCAGAACTGCGCTCTAAGACCCTACCTGAAGCCAGGAAACCTGGGGAGGCTCTGGGGAAGGTGAGGCTGTCTGCATGTCCGTTCATTCATTCCTCGGCTCCGGCTCCGGGGCCCTTCCCAGATGCAGGGCTGCTGGCTGACTGGATGCCTCGGGATGCCCCCACCTTCCAATCTCTAGCCAGGGCAGCATGGCATGCTGTGTAATCCGAAGTTTCTCCTCCTTGCTCCCAAACCTTTTCAGATCCCTTCTGAGAGCTGTGGGCACCAGGGAGGCCAGGTGGGAAAAGACAGATTACCTCTCCCTTTCTGCATGGCATGCATGCCATGAATGCACCTGGCTACTTCCACCTCTGCTTTGCATTGCACTTTCAGGAAAGGAGCCATTGCCTGAAGTGCTACTGCACCTGAACCCCATCAGCAGTGGTGTACTTAAGGAAGTCGGCTTCCCCGTGCAGCCCCTGGCCTTTCCACTGCCTGGCTCCCGGGCGGCCTGGCCCTGTGGCTGTGGAGTAGGGTGGAGCGGTGAGCCTCGGTCAGCCAGCTTTTGAGGAAAACAGAAGTGGGATGTGACCTATTTACACCTACCTTCTGTCACCTTTTTGGGGAAGAGGAAGGAGTAGATAGGGTGGAGCCGGGTGGGGTGAGGCTGGAAGAATCAGTTGGGAGGGCCGGGGAGGGTGCAGCTTGTGCAGGATGTTTGGAGTATGTGGACTTTGTGTTGGAAGGTATGTGGATACTGCTGCATGAATTCAGGCAAGTCAACTTTACCTTTCTGGATCTTGATTTCCTTATCTGTAAAATGGCCAGGTTTGTCTCAAGAATACATGTATTTCTGGATCCTCTAATGAGCATTTTGGGTGGTGCCTCTCTTCCCCTGGGTGGTGGGATTACAGTGTTTAGGAGGGGAGCTCTGGAGTCAGATTGCTTTGGTTTCTCAGTTTTAATGGTTGTGTGGCCTTCAAAAAGCTTAGTTTAACCCCCAAGCCCCCTTTTCTCCAGGTGTAAACTGGATAGCTATATTCTGGTGATGGCACAGATGGGATGGAGATGGAGATCACGTGCAGGGCAGTGAGAACCACATATGAACACAATTACCACTAAAAAGCTTGAAATCGGCTTGTTCACCCCATGTAAATCCCACCAAAATGTGCAAGTTCGGCTCATGAGTACGAGGGGCAGGAAGAATCATCCATACCAGTTAAATAAATTGTCCCCTCTTATTTCTGAGATTTAGGTGGAATTAACCTAAGTTAAATGCATTTAGTAAGTACTAGGTAAATGGAGGCTGTTTTCATAATTTTGTCTGCCAAGGATCCACCAGAGCTCATTGATAACACAGCTCTATAGCGGAAGTTTTTAACAAGTGGCATTCCAGAAAGACAAAAGCCTATGTCTTTGTCTACCAGAATGAAAAGTTCTGTGTGTGAAGGTCGTTTTCAGGGCTCTTTTTAAAACACAGAAGTGTTCTCTTTACTGAGTACTGCTATGAAACTCATCTCCCAAGTCCAAAGAAAACAACTTTTTTAAAAAGTGCATAAAAATTTTCAAAGTGCTTGAAAGATGAATGATGAACGATGAAAACCCCAATTTAGAGTCCAATAATGTTACAAAAGAAATTTGGTAAGAGGTTATATAACAGTCTCATCACAATTTAAATCTACAGTCAAGAAACTATCTGAAGGTGATCTGATTATCAATTTTAAAAAGCTTTCTTTGTGATAATCAAGTAAAATTTTGGTGGTACTCCTTGGATGCTTTAAAACTTCAATTTTACTGAACCATAATTTACACTCTATTCCTTTCAAGTCCAGAGTTTGATGAGTTGACAAATAATACACACCCAACCACTATTTTTACACCTACGGTTAATCTAAAGCAATTTATCAAACTCTTAACAAAGATCTGAGAAGCAACAAAGGATATTGCACTCCTTTTTAATTTGGAAACAGTATCCTTCAATGAATATAACTGAGCTTCACAATACAAGGCTGGAAACCTTACCAGTAATTAGGGTGATTAGTTTGTGTTGAAAAGGTGGCTGGCACAGTAAACTGGAGGAGATTAATCTCAGGCCCTAAAGAGCATCTGGTTTCAACTACTGACTGTGACCTTGGGCAAATTAGCCTAACTTCAACGAGCTCTTGTTTCCTCACCTGCAAAGGGGATGTCCTGTCAGGACCTACCTTCCAGTCTGGCTGGTGGGATCTGGATAGTGCAGGCAAGCTGCAAATGCTCCGTGAATCCTCCTCTTTAATGCTCTGAGGCATCTGCCTCCACTTTGAAATGACTGTCTCTGCTCCAGGGCAGTAGTTCTCAAACTTTTTAGCCTTGGAACCCAGGAGGCTATTAAAAACCAACCCGTAAGATCTTTTGATGATATCATTTACAGCTTTCAAGGTATAATCAAAATTAAAACTGAGATATTTACCCAAACCCGTTGCACAGTACCAAATGATAGTTTTGTGAAAATAACTTTTCCAGAATAACCACAACAAAACTTAGTATATTTTACATTTTCTAAGTCTGTTTAATATCTGGTGACTAGATTCTCATATCTGTCTCCCTCATTCACTCTGCTGTGATCGTTGTCTTGGTAGAAGTATGTGCAGAAAACCCAATTTCATCCAAACAGATGGAAAAAGGGACATTTTGATTATCTTCCCCCCAGTGGACATTTGATAACTACATTCTTTGAAAAAAGTGATCACTTCTCAAATCTTAATAATTTAGAATACACCTACTTTTCATACGCTGTTGTGTTAGGAACAATCTTTTCTACTTTGAATGGGTCTTTTATCCATGCATGACTTTGTAACATGGACTATTGGTTATTTGGTAAATACAAATCATTGAGTGATGTCGACCTTCAGATGTTGACAGTTCCATTATGTAGTATCAAAAGTTGCATTTGTTAGTGTTGGCACTAACATACCCCAGAAGGGTCTCAGGCAGAGGGAAGCTACCAAGCTCACTGTAGCAGACATAGTTTTTCTAGAATTATAATAATTTTCAAATGAAATCTCAAATTTTCACTGGTAACAAATAGTTGTGTCCCTGGAAGTAACAAGCTCACCTTATTATTAAAAAATGACTGATTTATTTATGCATACAAGAACTGGGGTATAGGCCAGAGTAAGAGTAGGGAGCAGATTTACTGAAATAAACTGCTGAGGGGAGCAGCTGGGAGACAGGAAGAGGTCTGCTGTGCCATGTGGGTCACCTCCCTGGCTGAGGATCAAACTCAAGCTGCAGTGGCTGCAGACAGCTTCCTAGTGCTGCGCTTTAACCTGTTACACCACTAGGGAGGGCCCCTCACTTTATTCATTTTTAAGAAAATGTCTGCCAGATACACTCAGGTCTCAATGACTTATGTCTGTCTTTCAAATAGAAATGGAATCCCATAGGAAAAAGGACTAGCTCATCACACAACCCAATCAACCGTCCAGGACAGATATTCATACTTGAGTGCGTACCAGGAATGTTTTATGAGCACCCTCATTTTGTCACTCTCAGTACTGAAAAGGCATGTATTTAAGGGTTATGATTGAATAAAAATTAAAATCTGTACTGTTTCATCAAGGATATTGAGTGAAATAAGTTTTTTTTAAGTTTTTTTTTTTTTTAAAGAGCAAGTGCATGGTGGCAAAGAACAGTTTCATTCACGCTAAGGTATCCCACGTCTGCTCAGATGTTAATAGAGTGAGAAGGGCAAGTAATCAGGTTATCTTAGCAGAGCTTAGCATAGTTATGAAAGTAGTTTAAGGTTTCAGGGAACCCAAGGGCCCATGGATCACGCTTTGAGAATCACTGTTTTAGGGCAAGAGCGACCAGAGCTATTTAATTATGGTTGATTGTCAGTCTGTAACAGACACACAGGTACAGCTGTTACAGCTGTTCTTGAGGGTGGCCATAGGCACTCTATCACTACAGCTGCTAACACGTCTGTGTTCCCTGCGGGGCGGGCAGTTCTGAGGATAGATGTGTGTGTGCATATACCTGTATCCTTCCACCCTTACTGTCTCGTTGTTTGGTTGCCTACGACATCCTAAGGCAAATGTTTTTGTGACTGTCCCATTTTACAGAAAAGGACCATCAGCCAGGATTCAAAGCCAGTCTCCAGAGACCAAGTCCTTCCTCAGTATCCTTGAGAAAACATCGCCCAGGAGGCGATGAGTCAGTACTGCTTGAGGGAAGTGACAGCGGGTAGACATTATCTCCAGGGAGGCCCAGGGGCCAAGGTGCAGGAGTGGACAGAGTGCCGTTGCAGGTACCACCTGGGTAGCTTGTTCTGACCTCTGTCTCGTCTCCGTTGCCCTGGCAGGATGACATCCCGGGAGCAGCTGGTCCAGCATGTGCTGCAGGAACTGCAGGAGGCCGTGGAGTCGGTGGGGCTGGAGGGTCTCGTTGGCGCGGCACTGGAGGCCAAGCAGATCCTGTCTTCCTTCACCCTCCCCACCTGCCGAGAGGGGGGTCCCAGCCCCAGGCCCCAGGTCCTGGAGGTGGACTCGGTGGCCCTGAGCCTGTACCCAGAGGATGCTCCCCGGAACATGCTGCCCCTAGTGTGCAAGGGTGAGGGCAGCCTTCTGTTCGAGGCCGCCAGCATGCTGATGTGGGGAGACGCAGGGCTCAGCCTGGAGCTGCGGGCCCGCACGGTGGTGGAGATGCTGCTGCACAGGCACTATTACCTGCAGGGCATGATAGACTCCAAGGTGATGCTGCAGGCGGTGCGCTACTCCCTGTGCTCAGAAGAGTCCCCCGAGATGACCAGCCTGCCCTCTGCCACGCTGGAGGCCATCTTCGACGCGGATGTCAAAGCCACCTGCTTCCCTAGCAGTTTCTCCAACGTGTGGCACTTGTACGCCCTCGCCTCCGTCCTTCAGCGCAACATTTACTCCATCTACCCCATGCGTAACCTCAAGATCCGGCCCTACTTCAACCGGGTCATCCGACCCCGCCGCTGCGACCACACGCCCGCCACGCTGCACATCATGTGGGCCGGCCAGCCCCTCACCAGCCACCTCTTCCGCCACCAGTACTTTGCCCCTGTGGTGGGGTTGGAGGAGGTGGAGGCCGAAGGCGCTGGCCTGGCCCCCGCGCCCCCCGCTCTGGCCCGCCTCCCGCCACCGGCCAAGACCCTGGAGCTGCTCAACCGTGAGCCAGGCCTCAGCTACTCCCACCTCTGCGACCGCTACAGTGTCACCAAGAGCACCTTCTACCGCTGGCGGCGACAGTGCCAGGAGCACCGGCAGAAAGTGGCCACCCGCTTCTCAGCCAAGCACTTCCTGAAGGACAGCTTCCACCGTGGGGGCGTGGTGCCCCTGCAGCAGTTTCTGCAGAGGTTCCCTGAGATCTCCCGCTCCACCTATTACGCCTGGAAGCACGAGCTGCAGGGCTCTGGTGCCTGCCAGGCCCTGGCCCCTAAGGAGGCGCTGGTCATGGAGGAGCTGGGCAAGCTGCCGGAGGAGCAGGTGGCCGAGGGGCTGGGCTGCTCCTCGCTGGCTGCATCCACCCCTGGCATGGTCTTAATGCAGAGGGCCAAGCTGTACCTGGAGCACTGCATCTCCCTGAACACCCTGGTGCCCTATCGCTGCTTCAAACGCAGGTTTCCAGGCATCTCCCGGTCCACCTACTACAACTGGCGCAGGAAGGCCCTTCGAAGGAACCCCAGCTTCAAGCCGGCACCAGCCCCCTCCGGGACCGCGCCTCCCCAGCCAGCGTCTGCTGGGGAAGGAGCCCCGCCCCCTTGGAAGGGTGAGGCAGGAGAGGGGCCAGGGAAAGCCACAGGTGGGGGAGCACCCACGCCCCAGGAGCCCCACCCCTTGAGGATGCCCCTGTCCCGCTGGCAGAGGCGGCTGCGCAGGGCTGCCCGCAAGCAGGTGGTGAGTGGGCACCTCCCTTTCTGTCGTTTCCGCCTCCGCTACCCCAGCCTGTCACCCTCTACGTTTTGGGCGTGGAAGAGTCTGGCCCGGGGCTGGCCCAAAAACCTGTCCAAACTCCAGATGCAGCAAGGCCTCGGGTTGGGGAAAGAAGGGGCCCAGGAGGCTGAGAAATGGAAAAAAGAAGTTGGCAGAAATGTGACAGCGGCAGCGGCCCAGCCCGCAGGGACCCCACACATGGGGACGTCTCCAGGACGGGAGTCGGGGAGGGGCCGGGTAGGGCCTGCCCGAGAGGAAGCCCTGCCTGTCGGGTCCATGGCCCAGGCCTCCCCCGAAGGTGGGTCCCTGTCCAGCCAGCCCGCGGTGGCAACCGCAGGGGACAGGGATAGCCAGGTGCTGGTGATGGACATGCTTGCCTCCACGAAGTTCAAGGCCCAGGCCAAGCTGTTCTTGCAGAAGCGCTTCCAGTCTCAGAGTTTCCCCTCCTACAAGGAGTTCAGCGCCCTTTTCCCCCTGACTGCCCGTTCCACCTACTACATGTGGAAGCGGGCGCTCTACGATGGCCTCACCCTGGTGGATGGCTGATGGGGGTGGGGGAGGGGCGGGGAGCCCCGTGGGAGAGGTCCGGGAACTGAACTGTGCCCTGGCTTCGCGGGATGCCCTCTGCTCCGCTCCCAGTATCCACCCTGAACCTCAGGCAGGTTTGCCTGGTGTCCTGGCTCCCGGCCAGAGCCTGGACTTGGCTATCTGGTCTCCTGCAGAGCTGTAGGTCCAGAGACGTTCTCTTCAGTTGTCTGCCATTCTTACTTGTGTTGTGTCTTGGTTTTAGTTTTTTTTTTTTGATTTAAGTGGGCTGGCTGGGCCCTCATGCTGGTGTTGGAAGCTATGTGTGAGGGTGTGGAAGAGGTTTGGTTGTTAGGCTTTTCCTGGGGACAAAAGGAGCTTTATAACATGGCCATCTGCCCCACTGGGCAGAATATGTTTCTTGTTTTCAATGCCTTTTGAGGGTTGGCACCCTCCTTACTCAAAAGATATTTTCCAAAGGAACATTAGAAACCTAAGTGGAAGGGGTTAGTAGCTTCTGTCTGGCACCTCAAGGGAGAGGGTGTGAGCAGAAGAGGGGTGTGGAGCACCAAGGATGGCTCTGGAGGGAGGGCCCTGAGCTGGGCCTCTGAGGGACTGGCCTGTGCTTTGCTAGGAGTGTGTGCAGGGGTGACGGGAGGGCTCTCAAGCCCCTACCTGATGTAGCCCCTGCAGTCTACCAGCCTGGCTGTCTCTTGGGGACCCCGGTCTTTCTGCTGAGCCTCTCTTTAAAGCCTGCACCCCATCCTCAGTGAAGGACCATGGAATGGCCAGGCAGGTGAGAGGTTGAATTTGCATTGTCCATGAATGAAGCAAAGAAATAAAGTGATGTAGTGCCCACAGCCTTTGTTTTCTGGTGTTTGTTTTACCAAGATGTGACTGCTCATTCTGCTTTCCTTTTTGGATTTAGGGGGCTAAGGGTGTCATTTCCTTCTTACTGGGACAACTCCAGCTTCAGGGCTTGGGGGAAGGAGGGTTACTCTGGGGATTCTGCTTACAATTGGATCCAGAAATAGCTTTGGGTGTTCTTCCAGCATGGGCCAGGGCTATCCTTTCCTGGAAAGATTTCTCCTGATGGGAGAAGCCTGGCCCACTGAAGTGCTCGAGGCCAGGCCAGCACAGCCTAAGTCTGTGCATGCTGTCTGCTCTGGCAGGCCTGCCCTGGGGAAGAGCCTTGAGGTGATTGATTTGCATGCTCCCTCCTACAGGCCAGGCTTGTTGGGATGCAGCATCTTTAGGAAGATGGTCCGCTTGGGCTCTTCATCCCCTTGTCGGTTTCCCACAGTAGCCTTCATCATCATGGTATTGGGGGGTTTTATTCTGCTATTTTTTTCAACTCCATGTTCAATCTCAGCAAGTCCTGCCATCTCTGACTTCAAAAGATGCCCAGAAGCCTCCCCTTATGCTGCTGCCATCATCAGCCCTCCAGGCCCTCACCAGCAGGATTTGAGTAGGTTTGAGGATGCAAATCCCAAAGGATAGCAGGTACAGCACCGTGAGTGGCCCCTGAGTCCCCAGTACCACTCTTGCTCCGAACAACCCATTCGCCATAGCAGTCAGCTCTTTAAAGGAAGTCCCATCTGTCCCTTTCCGTCCCATAGGTGTCAGGGGTTTTCCTTTACTCAGAAGCTGAGCTGGGCCCTCCCTGGTGGCGCAGAGGGTTAAAGCGCAGCACTGTGAAGCTGGCCAAGGCCAGTGCTGCAGTGGGAGTTTGATCCCCGCCCCAGAGGTGACCCACATGGCACAGCAGACCTCTCCTGTCTTCATCTGCTGCTCCCCTCAGCAGTGTACTTCACGGTCTGTCTGTTCTGCTCCCCACTATGACTCTGGTGAATCATTTCACTGCCCCTGCACCTCTGGCTTGTACCCCATTTCTGTCTTTAAAAAAAAGCCTTTAAAAAAAAGAAGTGGAGCTGCCTTGTAAAGGCCTTCAGGGTCTCGCCCCCAAATCTCCCACCACTTGAGCCCTCTTGCCCTTACGCAGCCAGCCTGGCTGCCCCTGATGTTGAGCAAGTCCCACTTTTTCTTTTTTTAAAGACTTATTTATTCATGCATACAAAAGCTGTGTGTAAGCCAGAGGTGTGGGGGGTGGGGTGAGAGGATTCACCAGAGAAGAGCTGGGAGCAGAACAGGCAAGCTGATTGAAACACTGCTGAGGGGAGCAGTGGGGCGAGACAGGAGAGGTCTGCTGCGCCATGTGGGTCAGCTCCCTGGCTTCTGATAGTTTCACAGTGCTGAGAATGGACACCTTGCGCCACCAGCGAGGCCCTGACTGAAGGGTGATTGCATTTGCTCCCTTTGGGCAGGAATGCTGTTCTCTCACCTGGCAGAGTCACTGCAACACTGTCCATTTATTTAGCCCCATCTGATGTTTCTGCTGTTATTTTATGATGACCCTCCCATTAATATATAAACTCAGTGAACGGATTTCTTCCTCTTGGTTCACACACTGCGTTCCCAGCAGGTGGTTCATCCCTGGTGTACCGTAAATGCCACAATGCATTGAAAAAAGGAATGAATGAAATGGGGCCACTATGCTTTACCTGTTATCCTTTGGGACTTGTGTTCCTCAGATCTAATCAATCCTGTTTCCTAAATACTTTTAACAAAGTGTTCTTCTCCATCCCCACGGCCACCCCAATCTAGGCCAGTGGTTGCTCTTATCTCTAATGCTTGAATGGTTTTAAAATTAACTGCTTTCATCCAAATGATCCAATGCTGTCCTCCAGACAAAGTCAGAAGGATCTTATTAGAACCCAAATCTGACTCATTACTGGAATCCCATTGTCCTTAGTACAAAATCCAAATTCTTGAGCAGCTACCTCTTGGCTCATTTTTCCACTGACCCCTCCGGTTATATCCTTGCAGACTGAACTTTCCTGCCTTCTGTCCCCTCCCTTAGGGGACTAACCACACAGCATTACTATGGATTGTTGATGCCTGCTTTTCTCCGGCACCTCCCTGGATTTCCTAGCTGGGGGCAGTCACTCAGTAATCTAACATTTTGCTGAAGAAATTGGACAAGTAATGGCCTACCTGGCCTGCAGTGGTCACCTACAGCCAGCAGGTGGCAATCTTGTGCAGCAAGAGGCTCACCCTCTGACCTCCAGCCCCTTCCCAGTCTCCTACCCTTGACTGCTTTGGCTGTCGGAGGGTGGCAACTGCCATCCACTGAGAACTGCCCTGGCTGGGTGCTGGATTCACCTTTACTACCTCGCTTGTGATGTCATAATCAGTAGATTGCTGCCTGGAGCAGTTTCACAATGGGGTCTAAAACCCACCTACATAGCAGTCCCTGGGGGAGCTTATTGGCATTATGGTTTCCAGGGCCACACCCAGACCCACTGGTTTCTAGCAGTGTATGCACACAGGTGAATTTAACCTTGCTGTGCCTCAACCTTTTCCACCTGTAAAACAGAAATACATAGCATAATGCCTACAGTATAGTATTCAGCACTTAGCAGTGCTTCACTAGCTATTGGTTCCCAGGAGTTCCCAAGTGAGTATCCCTAACTTGTTCGAGGTTACCCTCCTGTCTCATGACTGAAAGTTAATTTAGTTGGAGGCCAGCACCAAATCCCAAGCCCATGGGCATTTTAGCCTCTACTGGGCGAACATTAAGATAACAGTGATATGTCAATATTTATCGATTTGGAAAAGGTTTTATAAGTATAGTTAAATTATTTTTGTGTAGAAAAGCTTTTTCCTTTATAATCTGCTTAGAAAGAAATGCCTAGACCGTGACCATATTTTGCAAAGAATAGTTCATGCTGATTTTGAAGTTGACATTTGTTGAAATTTTTTGTATTTTCTGGGGCACTACTGTTCTCTCTGATGTAGAAATTTCAGTGAAATGAACAATGTATGAATAAAGGTGGAAAGCAATGAGTTGGCCTTATACCTTCCAACATTCTATTCCCTTGTAAAGAAGCATCTGGTTCTAAAATAAAAAAAGCTTTACCCTAAAAGATGAATCAGGTGAAGCATGAATAATTAAAGAAGTATTTATCTCCTGGGGACAGGTATCCTGTAATCAAGGTAGATCACATCTACCTTGATACATGAGGTTGCTCCTCAAATATTTCTTTGGAGTCTGTCATTTGTGCTCTTGGGCCATGAACACCCACCTCATATCTCCACAAGTTCTCCTGGATGTTCCACCAGCATCTCAGTCTCACTAACTACCAGGCAGGCCTCATTCCCCACCAACCTGTTCTCTGGGTATTTTTCACTCTCACTGCTGCCAACATCCGGTTATCAGCTGAACTGGTCAGAAAGCGGGGCATCGTCTGTGGGTCTGCTAGACTTTAGTGGCCTATTCAGCCACCATTAGTGTTACTGAAGTTATGCATCCTGTACAGGTCAGAACTGCCCTTCAGAAACTGGTCAGTCAGTCCTAGGAGCCAAACCTTACAGACGCCTTTCAAATCAATCAAGACCAGAACGCTTGATCACTGGGAAGGGTGTGTATCAAGAGGTATGACCGGGAACACCTGGGGTGCCGAGGACTGATGTCATACAAAGGATCCCAGAGACTGATCAGTGAAATGTCTTGTTGATAAGATCAGAACCATGGCTGGAAGCCTGGGGTGTGGTTTTGATTTCAACACTTGGTCAACAAATTGATAACAATTATGTTGTCAGCAGATTCATGTCCCTCCCAAGCCCTAGATGACAAAAACCACATCCCTTAGTTTCACCCATTTTTCCTCCTTGTCCTCCTACCCAACGTAACTGATACTGTATGATTATTCTAGCAATAAAAGGGCCAGGATCTTGCTTGCTCAGCCGCATCTTATACTGTGCAGCCTGCGCCATGATTCCCGTTTATCAATGTAGCGTTGCTTGACGCAACAGTCGTCCCAGAATTTTCTCTCTCTTAAATCTCCAGCCCAGCAAGACCCAGAAACATTGAAGCTCTGCATGGCTCCCATGCTGGGAAGGAAGCTGGGCAGCGCAGGCCACCCGATGCCCAGCGGTCACATTGCCTCGTGGAGGCTGGG